AAAAAAAAAAAAAGGAAGATGACAGGGACAAACAAAAAGGAGACAGGACAGACTGAAGAAATGTAAAAAGCTTAGATGCTGGAGCACAAAGGAATAGGAGAGATGAAAATGATGAGTACCTGGTCAAGTGAAAATAGCATGTGATTTTTTCAGAATATCAGGCACTACAATCAACTCCTAACACTATCATACTGAGTGCATTAATACATGCTTCCAGACTAAGTATTTCTCTATGTATAGAACAGACATCTAAAATAAAGAGGCCTAAGAAACTTCTAGTCATGCCTTTTCTTTCTTCTAAGTACATAACAACCTGTAACTTGATTACAAATAAACTCGTTATACTTTATTCATGCCCAAGAGACACACGAACTCTATAAATTCCCATATGAAGCTTGCATGAAAACGTGAAAACGTGCAATTTGTCGGCAACTGAAAGTGTGATTGGATATAAATCCATAACCAAAAAAATCCAATCACAACTCAAATTTCACTCAACCTCAACTCTCATCAATATTATCAATATAATTAAATAATATTAATCAATCATCCTCACATAATTTTATTTCAATATTCATCCACTCACATAATTTTAACTACACATCACTTCCAATAACCTCTCTCCTACTTTTACTTCAAATCTTAATCATTTTATTTTAAATATTATTTTAATACAAACTAAAAAATCTCGCTCAAATCTAGCCCAACAAACTTTTTTAAAATTCACTGTGGTTAACCAAAAAAACCAATCAATATTTATATCCAGTCACACCCTCAAAAACTTAGACTGAGCACCAATCTATCTTATGACCTTAAAACAAGATGTAAGAAAGAAGCAGATTCCTAGCATCGGTCAGAAACATACCAGTTGTGATTGTCCGGAATCGCTCTTGTCCAGCAGTATCCCAGATCTGTAGTTTAATTCTCTTCCCGTCAAGCTCTACGGTTCTTATCTTGAAATCAATCCTGCATGAGAAAACGGTATTACGTAAGGACGATAGAAACAATGTTTAGAAAGTCCAACTGGTGTTAGGTGATTATGAGTAAATTAACTGACCCAATGGTAGTAATAAAACTGGTGGTGAAGGATCCATCTGAAAATCGTAAAAGAAGGCAACTCTTACCCACACCTGCAGAAAGAAGTTTGAAAAAACAAAAATGATGACAACTTCAACTTCAGTCAAGTCAAATTCGAATTTCAAATAAATGTAAGAATATTTATCATAAAGCAGAGTGAAGCTACAAATAATGAGCTGCGCAGCGCATGCGCGTAAAATTAATCCTCATCCAGCATAAGATAAACTCACTTTTCAGTTTCTTGTTATTTCATATTCAGAGTGTAAAATAATGGAGGGGATCAATATCCAGGTTTAAAAAAATGACAGTCTCATAACCCATTTGAATTATATTACCTATACAAAGTACCTATAACAAAGCCTAAGACGCGAAACCTATAACCTCCGAGAATCAAATTACATTACAGAGCTATTTACTCAATTACCTCAAAGTCAAACCATATGCTCTACAAAAACTCGTACGGACTGAGAGTCAGATGTAATTCTTATTAAAAAAATTTTACATTTGGTGTCGGCTAATCACAAAGAAACCCTTTAGGTTATAATTGCATTATAGTTTCTTCAAACAAAAAGCACAAACAATTAACCCCCCAAACATTTGATGATCAAACTCCACCAATCGTCCCTTTTGGTTCTAAACCCATTCCTCAATGAGACCTTGATTATTAGCTCACTTCATTGTTCAACACAAAACAATTACAACGGTTTCCAACAATCACGATACATAATCATACGGAGCTTTCACCAAATAACTTGACATAACGCACGCATTCATATGAAACCGTGAGAAAACTTGATTCTCCATCAGGATGAATCCTCCATTGAAGAAGCTAACAAAATATTTTTTTTCCTTTTCAATATCAAACAGAAGATAATCCTAACATTACAGTGATGAATACCTAAAAATCTCAAGCATTCGGCATCATATGCAGCTGATTCACAACATTTCATAGCTAAAATACAGAGAAAAATACCAGATAAAACGAACAGCACAAATCAATAATAATAATCAAAAAAAAAAAAAAAAAAAAAAAAAAAAAAAAAACGCACCGCTGTCCCCTATCAAAAGAAGTTTGATCAGATAATCGTAATCAGCTCGAGCTCGGGCGGGAGGGGCTGCCATCGATTTGCTTTGCTCTGCGCTCTTTTTCCTTGTATCAAAGCGAAGCAAACCTATCAAACAGCAGCAAATCAAATCAATAAATCCAAACAAAAATCGAGAAAAACACGTGAAGAGATTAGTTAAACCATGAATTTGAAATTCGAATCTACAAAAATTGAAAGGACGGTGAGAATTATTAAAGTAATAAGGAGCGAGAAAATACCAGATCGCCGGTGAGGGATGAAAGAGGGATCTAATAAATGAGGAAGGATGAAAGAGAGAGGGAAGCGCCTGTTGTTTTCGTTTACATTTTATATTTTGCGTTTTGAATTATTGGCTTAAGTAAATCAATGATTGGTGGAAATATGGATGAACAATTAATATTTAATGCCGCGCTGGTGATCCTACCCTGCTCGATTCTGGATTAGTCGGTTCCCCTGTAGATCTGAAAATCGGAAATTCCTTGTATCAAAAAAAAATATTTAATTAGAGTTTATGTTAGAATGGAACAATATATAACAATATTTTTTTTATTATAACATTCATGAATTATTAACATATATCATTGACATTACTTCAAGATTATTTAAACTTTGCACATAGGCACTCGATTATTATAGTTTTATTCATGAGTTATTAACATATATCCTTGACATTACTTCAAGATTATTTAAATTTGCACATCCACTCAATTGAATTATAATAATGGTATTTTAATTTTATTTTAAATTTTTTCTAGAGGCACAAACGTTGTTAAGCGATCATACAATTTGCAAACTTATATTATTAAAGTTATATTACTATTTATATATAATTTTTTTTAAAACATGATGATTTAGTATAAAAAATTATATAAATTATTTTAAAAAAATTACATTTTCAAATGAATTGTTCACCTGTCACTGGATGTGAAAATGGATCGAACTGGATTTGAGCTCCGAGCTTAAATCTTATCGAACAGATAAATATGTTCAAGCTCGATTCACTTATTAACATTAACAATATATATGAGGATTAAAAATTTATATTTCCGAGCCTTATTAAGTGTAGCCAAGTCGAACGCACAATTAACTCATTTTGTTTAACTTTATTTGGTACCCAATATATCCTTCCCATTTATTGGCCCATCATATCCCATGGAACCTTGCTTGAAGATCCAATCTAAATCATGATTGCAATTGGTAATGCAACAACTCCAATGATGGCAAATTTTGACTCCAATGAGATTTTGTAGTTTATCTAGCCAAACTGTAGTCCTCTTAATAAATTTAACTTAGTTAAATATGTCCTAAGAAATATACTAAAATGATATCCGTGAAATTAATATCAAACGTGAATATTGACATAAGATGAAGATACAGAGTAAGAGTTGACCTATGAACTAATATGCAAGCATATGTTTCATGCTCGTTTGATTAATAGCAATGATATTTTCGAATAACATGCTAAGAATTAGGATTTTTAGAAGAAAATGTAATTCATTTGATGAGAAATAAAATGAAATATCGAAAAATTAAGTGGTTGAAGCTATAGCAGCTACTATCAAAGTAACATAAAGAAAAGCAACTGACTAATGTGAGAGAATTCGAAAAGTGAATTTCCTCAATAATTTTGTCATAAATTGTAAGTAATGTTTAAACTTGAAGCGCATTATCAGCCCAAACCATCTTTAGATAACATCCATGACTGCGTTTGGGCCTTCCTGGCCCAACAACATTTGCAAGTGTTCCTTCAAGAATATTTAACAAAATACTTCGAGCACATAATAATTTCCAATGTTCGAACATCCTTTTTTTTTTTTTTAATGGGATCCACATTTCATGAGAAAAACGAATCTATTCGGAAGAATTAAATTCATATCAAAATAGCCATTCATCAAAAACAATTCCACAAATTAATCCTTCATTAAACTTCAAAAACCAGAGATTATGATCCAATAAACTCATCCACCTTCCACCTACATAACATCAAAACAACCCCATATCCAGACTACATACAAATAGCTAAAGACAAACCTAGAAAACGAAACTGAGTACCAATAAACTACTACTTAAGCCTTCTTGGGGGACTTGGTTGCCTTCTTGGGTGATTTTCCGGCCTCTGCAGCCTTCTCAGTCTTCTTCGGCAGGAGAACAGGGTTGATGTTGGGGATAACTCCGCCGTTGGCAATCGTGACTCCGGCCAAAAGCTTCCCGAGCTCCTCGTCGTTCCTCACGGCCAACAGCAAGTGCCTTGGGATGATCCTGTTCCTCTTGTTGTCCCTTGCAGCATTTCCAGCAAGCTCAAGCACCTGTGAACAAGCGTTAGGCGATTAATGCATAAAATATAAACAAGATACAGAAGAACAAAAGCAAAAAAAAAAAGGCAACTTTATGCTGAACAGATCTGCCAAATTTCAAAGCAACTACAATCCCAACAATTTCTTCAAAAACCAACAAAAGGATTAATAAGAAAACGGAAAAAATGAAATCCAACTGAAATGAACCGACCAGATTCAAAATCTCATATCAGGGGACAATGTCATGAACCAAAAACACAGTAATTGAAGTACAATACCTCGGCGGCGAGGTACTCAAGCACGGCGGCCATGTAAACCGGCGCGCCTGTGCCCACGCGCTGAGCATAGCGTCCCTTCTTCAGAAACCGCCCGATCCTGCCGACCGGGAACTGGAGGCCAGCCTTGACGGATCTCGAAACGGGCTTCTTCTTCGGGCCACCGCCTTTCCTCCCTCCGGCTCCTTTCTTCACTTTGGCGTTGGGGTCCATTTCAGTGTGTGAGAGAGAGTGTGTTTTTTCGTGGGTGAGTGAGAGTATATGAGAGAGAGAGAGAGAGCTGTGAAAATGGATTGTGCAGAATTGCAGGTTTTATGCTGCTGCTTAAATAACTGCGGGGGTTCGTGTTGGGGATAAAATAGTGGGTGAATTTGGAGCGTCAGATTGGACTTTTATCGACGGTTGTGAGTGGTAGTTGATCGATCCTCGTGCTGTGAAACGGACCAATCAGAGATTAGTATTACAAAATGGGGCGGGAGTGAATTTCTCCTCTTTTTTTTTCCCAAAAGGCGGGTAACATGAAATTTTAAAATTTGATTGAAATTTTCATTTTAGAGACAAAGTCACAACTCACAAAACACCATTAAACAATGTTTATCATTGCTTTTCTATTTTAGCCTTAAATTTTGGTTGGCTTTCTCATCTAAAATTTATTTTAATAAATCAAATCATCAACGTAGATTAGAAGGTGATAAATTCAAAAATAAAAAATGATCTAATCTGATTGACTTAATTGTTTCGCTAATTGATTTTTGTAAACTCGATACATGTTATGGTTTCAGTGGCCACGATTTAATATGAGATTTATACTAACTAATATTTTATCCTGTGAACATGCACAAATGTAAATAAAAGTTTTTATATTATACATTATATATATATATGTTTTATGTAAAATTTAAAAATTATAAATTAGATAATAAGCATATCACATTTATAAATTTTATCATTACTATAATGACGACATAAATATAAAGTATTTAACTTACATATTAATTTTTAAATTTATATAGTGTTAAACGATTATGATAATTACATGGATAAAAAAAATATTTAAATAATTATTATAATATTTGTGTACAAACCATTAAAAAGTTTGGTTATGTCATAAAAGATAATTAATTAATTGTAATAAAAGAAACTTGCTTGATGAGGTGAAAAAAAATAACAATTTTAAATACATAGTTTAGAAAAATATTAGAGTAGAATAACATTTAACGTGTCTTTATTATTAGTTCATAGTAGTAATTATATAATAAAATAAATAAAAAACATAATTGTGATTAATGCGAAAGTAACGGAAAAAGGCGGGAAAACGAAAAGAGTTTTATTAAATGCTCATGAGCCAGTAATTATATATATATATAGATTATTAAAAAAAAAAGTAAGAGATAATTTTTTTTCATTTAAAATTTAAATATTTTTAAAAAAATTGCATTATTATTTATATAATGAGATTTTTAATTTGTTTTTCTTATATAATAATAAATTTTATAATTTGATTGAAATTTTCATTTTGTAGACAAAGTCACAACTCACAAAACACCAATTAAACATTAAACAATGTTTATTATTGCTTTTTTTTTAGCCTTAAATTTTGGTTGGCTTTCTCATCTGAAATTTATTTTAATAAATCAAACTCATCAACGTATAGATTAGAAGGTGATAAATTCAAAAATAAAAAATGATCGAATCTGATTGACTCAATTGTTTCGCTAATCGATTTTTGTAAACTCGATACATGTTATGGTTTCAATGGCCACGATTTGATATGAGATTTATACTAATTATTAAAAAAAAGTAAGAGATAATTTTTTTTTCATTTAAAATTTAAATATTTTTTAAAAAATTGCATTATTATTTATATAATGAGATTTTTAATTTGTTTTTCTTATATAATAATAAATTTTATAATTCATAGAGTTTTTTAGTTTTTAATTATTATTATAAGTATCACAATCACAACATATCCAGTATATTCCCAACTGGTTGGGGTTTGGGGGTCAGTTGTACGCAGACCTTACCCTTGTAATTATACAAGGAGATTGTTTCCGTAGCGAATCAAGGTGCATTGCACCGTGTTATATATTTTTTTCTAGAAGTTTCACTAATAGAAGAAGCCCTTGTAATTATTATTATAAGTATATGATTAATACTTTAATAAATAAAAATTAAATTGCAATATGGATATCGAATCAAAACAAAATAGATTAATATAATTAGTACAAAAATATGATAACAAATAATAAAGTTATTACCTTTTAAAAAATATTTATGATCTAAGCAATTTAAATGTAGTATAATTATAAAAGTCATAATACGTATACATACATTTTAGATTTATATGAGCTACTCCAAATCACACTTATGTATTTCACGATGTTGATAAATAATCATACTAATTTTAAGAAATATAAGCCGTTTTAAATCATTTTTACAAAGGTAAATTTATACTTAAAATGACACATATCACTTAACAGTATTGTTGACATCCGAGTTGGAAAATAAAAATAAAAAACTTAAATATTTTAAAATGCACATAAAAATAACGTATGTCAATACCCTGAAAAAACAACTAAGGAAACAATAAAGAATCCTCGAAAGCAGTGGCGAAACCAGCCGGTCATCCCGGGGAGGGCCCAATTTGCCGCGGCGCACCATCCCCACTCCGGCCATCCCGCGGCGCACCACTTCCACTCCGGCATCGGAATGACATTCAAAGGGCTTTTGTGGACGCTCTAAAAAATTTTCGCAGAGATATAAAAGAATAATCTAGAGATTTTTCTAAAAATCAAACTAAGTCCGAAATTAACCTGGTATACTTAAACTGAATTGTTTTAACTCAAAAAATACTCGAATTTATACTAATAAAAATCTCGGACTCAATTATAAAAATAATCAAGAATTATACCTCCTTTCGAATAGACGAAAAGCTGAAAAAATTGAGAAAACGAAGCCTCGAACGATCAAACTCGGCCTCGACAAGTTTGCTCCTTTTGATACTATTTAACGCAGAAATTCAAACTCCCATAATAAATGCTCAGAACTCCAAAAAATGCGAAATTTATCCGTATGGAATCATGCTTGAATTGTCTACACGCTCCAACTCGATTCTCGTTAAACCGAGGTCACACGCAACCTTACGGAACCCTGCAAAACGGATTTTTATTCTTCTATTATGCGCACTTGACTTCGAGCTTCTCAAAATAAATGCTCGAAACTTCGAAACGTGAAATAAATTTTACGAACGGTTTCTACTGGTTTTGTGCTTTCAAGAAAGCACTCCCGCTAATTTTCAGCACGCCTAACGAGGGTCGACGGTTACCCGAAGCCTATGCATGAAAATAGTAATAAAATTATCGTCACTGCCATTTTTCTCTTAACTTCGAGCTACCCAAAATAAATGGTCGGGACCTTAAAATCATAAATCGATGTCACCAACAAACTCTCCGCTTCCCGTACTTTCATAAAAGT